AGAGCCTCCCAGTGCCAATCCCGCCCCCCCCTCCCAGCCACTCCCCCGCCCCCGCCAGGCTTCCATCTGGCACCCAGCCAGAGAACCAGAAAATACCTGACATTGTACATGTCCAGTATTTTCTGATTTTTTTTACTGGACAGAGGGCCCAAAAACCGGACTGTCCGGTAGAAAACCGGACACCTGGCAACCATATACGTCACCTCCCTGCCCCATCTCGCCTCCCACCGTGGTGCTCGGCTAAGTTCTGCACCACTCAACCGGGCCGCCATCTCCACTTGCTCCCCCGTGGCAGCCCGGCTGAGCGGCGCAGAACTCAGCTGAGCGCCACAGCGGGAGGCGGAGGGAGGCGGGGCGGTGACGTGCAGCATGACAGCAGCTCCAGGCCCCGCCCCCTGGCCGTGAAAGTCATCGCCTCAGCCCTCTTGCCGAGGGCCACGGCGGGAGGTGAAGAGTGGCGGGGCTGTGAAATACACGCCCAGGAGGTGGGGCCTGGACAAGCATGTATCCCCGATGAAGACAGAGGAGAGCAGAGAGAGAGTGAGAGGCAGGAGTGGGAGAAAAGAAAGAGAGAGACAAAGGGAGAGGCAGAAAGTGGAGGAGAGCTGAGAGAGAGCGAGAGACGGAGCGAGAGACCAGAGGCTCAGGAGAGAAGACGGATGTGGAGGAGAGACCTGAAAATCCCGTGTTATGATGGGCTAATTGTCTAGTTCTTCCTGATTAAGCCGTCTGTGGTAGACACTGTATCTGATACAACCCTTGATTTTTACAGGCACAGGGCAGTTATATAGGAATCAAAACTGTTAGATTCCCACAGAAAGCTTCACTATAACAAAAACAGCATTTTTCAGAAGCAAAATATGCCTATGGAAAATTCTTAGCCTCCTCCGATTTTGTTTTCCTTCAAAATTCATGATTTGGTTGTCCTCCTTCTGGGTGTTTGAATTTTGCAGTTGCCCTTTTTTCTTCTCTTTTGGCCTTATTAAATTGTCCTTCTCGTATTCCCTTTAATGGTTATAATCTTCTCCCTCTTTATCTTACTCTGTCTTCACCCCGCTTGGCAGAATGTGAGTCCTTGAGCCTCACAGAAACTGCTTTTCCACTGAGAGGTTTGATCCCTTTGTTTTTCCAAGCAGAAAATATTGTTTTCAGAAAGCAATCAATTTTGGAAGCAAGCAAATGAAAATATCAACAGAAAAAAAACATTCAAAAATGGATAGAATAAAAAATGCTTGAAACTCACAGGCAATTGTTTGGGGGGCATTTTTCTTTCTGACACGCTCAGTGATTTTACAAGCTTTCTCTCAACTGCTTGTGCCCCTTCCCTCTGCTTCCTGCAGGCCTCACCTGCCCCCGGAACTCCCATTACGAACTCTGTGGGAACGGCTGCCCTGCCACCTGCCACGGCCTCTCGGCACCAGATGGCTGCGACGCCCCCTGTGCTGAAGGGTGTTTCTGCGACGCTGGGTTCATCCTCAGCGGAGACCAGTGTGTCCCCATCGCGCAGTGCGGCTGCGTGCACCACGGCAGGTACTACCGGAGGGGAGAGGAGTTCTACCCCAGCGCCTCCTGCCAGGAGTGGTGCCGGTGCCAAGACAGCGGGGTCGTCGAGTGCCAGGAGGCCTCATGTGGAGCCAGCGAGCAGTGCCGGGTGGAGAACGGAGTCCTGGGCTGCTATCCCGCAGGCAGATGCACCATGTCCGGCTATTCCCACTACCTGACCTTTGACGGACAGGCTTTTGACCTGTATGGCAATTGCACTTACACCCTAGCCAGAGTCTGCAGCAGCGATGCCGAGCTGGCAAACTTCTCCGTGGTGGTGGGGAAGGAGAGCGTGGGTGCTGGCCACGGGGCTCAAGTGAGGACAGTGGCGGTCTCCATCCATGGTTACTCCATCACCATGGAGAGGGGGAGGAAGTGGAGGGTCACGGTAAGTTTGCATTGCAGATACATCTTGGTGGCATCTGAAGTCTCCTCTATGATTGGCAGTCACAGGGCAGCTCTCCCAGCCACCGCCAACTCGCTGTGGACCCTGAGCTCTCGGGGCAGCCCAGGGCATCGGCCCTCAATGTCCCCCAGTGAGCTCAAGTCTATTCCGTTCAGAACATGGAGAGAGAATGAAAGGTCCAATGGGTCCGTCAGCTCAGCTCTGGTGACCTCAAAGCCCCAGCAGGGCAGGAAGGGTTTGTAAGGCCATGGCTATGCTTACAGGCTATGCCAGGTAGCCGGGGTAATGACACCGGCTCAGTGAGCGGACGCTCTCCTGCAGACATTGTCCAGTGCTGCTGTGGAGAAAGTGAACAAGGAAGAACTAGGAGTCACACAATGAAATAACTAGGAAGTAGGTTTAAAACAATCAAAAGGAAGTTTTTCTTCACACAACACACAATCAATCTGTGGAACTCCCTACCACAGGAGGTTGTGAAGACCAAAACTATAACGGTTCAAAAAAGATCTAGATAAATTCATGGAGGTTAGGTCCATCAATGGCTATTAGCCAGGCTGGGCAGGAATGGGGTCCCCAGCCTCTGTTTGTCAGAATCTGGGAAAGGGCAACAAGGGAGGGATTACTTAGTGATTCCCTGTTCTGTTCACTCCCTCTGGGGTGCCTGGTGCTGGCCACTGTGGGCAGACAGGACACTGGGCCTTTGGTCTGACCCAGTCGGCCGTTCTTATGTTCTGATGCTCTTATGCCGACAAAACGTACATCTCCCGGGAGTATTTTCTCACATCTTTGGGAGAAAAACGTTTTCCCAACATAAGTGCTAGCGTAGACATGGCCTAATTCCAGGCCAGATTCTGCTCACACCTGTACACATGGAAATCGATTGACTTCCGTGCAAATCCAGAATGGCTCTTTCGATGCCAGTAAAACTGGTGTGACTCCAGGGAAGCCGGTGTAAACCCAGACTCACTCCCGTGATGCCAGTGTGGATCGGGAGTTATTCTGACACCACTTCCGCAGGCCAGTGTGGCTCCACCGTAACGCCACTGAGGCTGGTGGCACTCCGCTGACTCGTGCAGTGCTGACAATACTGGTGATTCTGTGCGTGCGCACGGCCCCAGGACACAGGTGCAGAGCTGCCCCCGCTAGCACAGGTGAATTTCCCTCTCTTTGGTGCAGGTGGACGGCGAGCTCTACAACCTGCCACTGGCTATGGATGAGGGGAAACTTCTGATCAATCAGGAGGGGAACAACATCATTCTCCAGTCTGCCGCTGGCCTCCAGGTCCTTTACGACGCTGCCTCCTACCTCCTAGTGTCCGTGCCCCACGCCTACAGGGGACACGTGTGCGGCTTGTGTGGCAACTTCAATGGGGACAAGAGTGACGACTTCCTGCTGCCCTGGAGGAGCTGGGCCCGGAGCGGGGAACTGTTCCCTGCTGCCTGGAAGGTAGACGGTGCCCCGTGCTCCAGTGGCTGCAATGGCAGGTGCCCGGCATGTGATGTGGCCCAGACGGCGCCGTACCAGGCGGAGAGCTCCTGTGGGCTGATCCAAGCCGCCTCAGGTCCCTTCAGAGACTGCCACTCACTGGTCAGCCCTGCCGAGTACTTCAGCCATTGCCTTTATGACATGTGCACCGCCAACGGGACGGGAGAGACCCTCTGCCAGAGTCTGCAGGGCTACGCGGCCGCCTGCCAAGCCGCCGGGGCCAGGATCAGAGCCTGGAGAACGGCCTCCTTCTGCCGTGAGTGCCTAGAGCAACCTGCAGCCCACGGCTGCCTGGCACAGCCATGCCCCTGCTGTGCCCGTCTGCGTGTCACCCAGCGCATGGCAACCGGCTCGCCAGGCCGGGCACTGCTGGGAACTGCCGAGGACTCGCTCCTCGGCCATCACCGTCAGCGCTGCTGACAATTACTGGGCAAGGTGGGGGGCAGTGCCGGCCCCCAGAAGGGGCGGGGCCTCTGGCAGAGGGGAGCGGGATGGGGGCTGGCCTCCCCCAACCAGCCCTTCAGGTCAAGGGAGTGGCAGCAGCAGCCGGGAGCCCTCGGACCCCCAGGGCTGTGCTCCTTTCCCCCACCCCACACGCTGGCGGTGGTGACACAGGCCTGGCTACCAGGTTTTGGGTCTGGGGCCTTCCACCCACTGTGCTCCCACTTCAGCTAACAGAGACCGATAGGAGCCCAGGCCAGCAGGGGTCTGCCCTGTCAATCACAAGACTTTTCATTTCACCCAGGGATTCCCATGGGGAGGCCAGTCACTCGTGATACTTTGTATGAGACAACGGGAAGCCCTGTGGCACCTTAGAAACTAACGAAATATATCTGGGACCATGAGCGTTCATGGGTAAACCCCACTTCCTCAGAGGAGCTGTGTCCTGCCCAGCTCACTGAATTAGCTTCATTAGCACAGGTCCTGCAATTGAGAGGTGAATGCTTTTGCTGTTATATAGATCTTGGCTTCTGCCATTGCCACTCCAGCTCTTCTGATGAAGTGGGGTTTATCCATGGAAGCTCGTGACCCTACCTATTTTGGTTAGTCTCTAGTTTGAATTACGGTGGCTAATGTAGGCATTCGAACTTGCAAATGAAGCCCGGGATTTAAATATCCCGGGCTTTATTTGCATGTTCCCAGGTGCCGTCATTTTTAAATGCCCCGTAGTTTGAACTACCTGCCCATGGCTATACGCGGCACGGACTAGGTAGTTCAAATTAAAGCTCCTAATTCAAACAACCATTAAACCTCCTTGCAGGAGGAATAACGGTAGTTCAAATAAGTTATTTTGAAATAATAACTCCCGAAATAACTGTTTTGAAATAGTGTGTCCACACTACAGGGAAGCCTCGCAATTAGTCCAAGGCAGGCTCCCTTTATGTGGACGCGCTACCACAACTTAGATCCCTAGGACGCCCTGGGGAGTAATTACTTTGAATGGCTCTAGGGAGTTGTTATTTTGAAATAGCAGTGGAACATCCACACTAATGCTATTTCAAAATAAGTGTTATTCCTCATGGGAAGCAGGAGTATTATTCTGAAATAACCAGCCCCTTATTTCGAAATAATGGGCTTGGCAGTGTGGACGCTCCCCTTGTTATTTCAAAATAAGTGGGGTTATTTTGAAATAACCTCCTAGTGTAGAACAGGGCTTAGATGCCACAGGACAATTTGTTGTTTTTAAAGTTACAGACTAACACAGCTACCTCTCGAAAGCTGTGTCTACATTGGCACCCCTTTCCGGAAAAGGGATGCTAATGAGACACTTTGGAATTGCAAATCCACGGGGATTTAAATATCCCCCGCGGCATTTGCATTTACATGGCTGCCGCTTTTTTCCAGCTCGGGGTTTTTGCCGGAGAAAAGTGCCAGTCTAGACGTGATTTTCTGGAAAATAAGCCCTTTTCCGAAGGATCCCTTATTCCTACTTTCAAGTATAACTTTCAAGTAGGAATAAGGGATCCTCCGGAAAAGGGCTTATTTTCCGGAAAATCGCGTCTACACTGGCGCTCTTCTCCAGCAAAAACCGTGCGCCGGAAAAAAGCGGCAGCCATGTAAATGCAAATGCCGCAGGGGATATTTAAATCCCCCGCGGATTTGCAATTCCGAAGTGTCTCATTAGCATCCCTTTTCCGGAAAGGGATGCCAATGTAGACACAGCCTGAGAGTACATCTAGACTAGGGGCTAAGGTCGATTTAAGCTCCACAACTTCAGCTATGTTAATTGCGTAGCTGAACTCTAAGTACCTTCACTCAACTTTTGGTGCTCTCTGCGTTGCAGGAAGTCGAAGCGAAAATGCTCTCCCTTTGACTTCCCTTGCTCCTCGTGGAAGCGGACAAACTGGCATTAACTGGAGTGTCCCTCTCAGTTCGAATTAGTTGTCTTCACTAGACCTGCTAATTCAAACCCTGGAAGATCAACAGCGGCAGCTTGGATCATCTATGTAGTGTAGACGGACCCTGAGACTTTTTATATTTGAGAGAGTTTGTCTATTTGTGTGTCTGTCGGTCCTCCATCTCGGGGACATGCACCCCTTCCCCGGCTGTGCCTGCTGAAGCTGCATAGGCCATGGAGAAGCGCTTCTCACCAGGGCTGGCCTTACCATGAGGTGAACTGAGGCAGCCGCCTCAGATACCAGACTGTGGGGAGGCACCACTAGGACCCAGAGTGTAAAAAATTGTGTCAGCTGCTGGTGCCTATGTAGGTAGCAGAGCAGCCCCCTGAGAGGAGGAGAACAGGAAGGAGGCAGAATTGAGACCTTTCAAAGTTTTGGCCCAAGTGAGGGGGCATGGGGGTGTCATTTGAGCTCCCTGCCTCAGATGCCAAAATATTGTGGGCCGGCCCTGCTTCTCACAGGAGCAGAGGGCTGAGGCAGTGCTCTCTCCACAGGGCAGCCTGCACCCCGAGCCCCTCATCCCTAGCCCCACCCCAAAGCAATGACCGAAATGAAGAAAAACCAAAAGTATTTAAATTAAGGACCCAAGCGACACCAGCCAACCTTCTAGTGTCTAACACAGACATAAAATCCCCTTCTTGCGTCTAATCCCTGCTCTCCATTTTGACATCCGAGGGATGCTGCCTTGCTCTGGAAGTTTGTATCCGTGGTGAGCCCAGATCCCTTTTCGAGTCCCAGCTGCTCAGTGCTCCATTTGGGAGGCCTGGCCTGGCCTGCTTGTCCCTACATGCACAGTCTTGCAGGAACAAGTATTGCTTAATAGGAAACCGGCACCAAGTGTGGGGCCCCTACTTAACCAGGGCAGTGTCTATGGCAGGGCTTGTGGGTTATGGATTTCTGCATCTGGCTTGTTTCTCCTCTAGCTCTCAGCTGCCCTGCTAAGAGTCACTATGACCTCTGCACCCACTCCTGCGATTTCACCTGCGCCGGCTTGGCCCGTTCACCCCAGTGCACAGGGAGGTGTTTCGAGGGCTGCCAGTGTGACAACAGGCTGCTGTTTGACGGGGAGGATTGTGTGTTTCCGGACAGCTGTGGGTGCTTCAGAGACGGGAGATACATCAAGGTAGGGGGGCGGGCAACTCAGAATCACTGGGCGGGGGGGGGGGGGAATTGTTTCCGATCAAACGGTTTGTTCTCTCCTGCCAAAATGAAAAACTGGAGAAAACCGTTATTTGGGAGGAGCCAAAGCATTCCGGGGGGCTGGGCTGTGCTTAGCCTTTTAAACATAAACATCTCCACGAAATGGCGCTTCGGAATGACAGGTCAAAACGTCGCATTTTGAAAAGCCTGAAATCCGATGTTTCCGTGTTTTGGTTTGTTGAGTTGTGTTGCCCAGAACTCTGTGTCCAATTCGCCCCACATTTCCCAACAGCTCTAGGGCACCCACCGCTGCATTTTTTGTCAATTCGCCCCACATTTCCCAACAGCTCCAGGGCACCCACCGCTGCATTTTTTGCAAATAAATTATTCATTCAGCAAACTCTCCCCAAGCTCTGCTGGTTACAGTGGGGCCTGGGCCTAGTGCAGACTTGTCCTGGCTGCCAGTTTGAGCAGTTGAGCTAAAACAAAACCTTTCAGGCACCAAAGAGCCATTTCTGACATACAATGGGGCCAACAGCCTTGCCCAGCTGGTGGGCAAGCCAGGGGACAGGCCCTGCTCCATGTCCCCAAGATGAGTTGGGGCCTCAGGTGGAAGGGGCAGGGCTGGGGCCCTCTTAGCACCGCCCAGAGAGCACCACACCTCCCCCAGGCAGCCCTCAGTGCTGCTCGGAGCGCCGCACCACTGTAGCAGCGGCAGCAGCCAGGAGCTCCGGGTCCCTTTGTATCTCCAGGCCCTGGGCAATTGCCCCCTTCACCCACTGCCTGTTGCGGGCCTGCAGCCATCTCTTTGGAGCTGAATATTGACTGTCGCACACAGTGTGGCCTCCAGAGCCCAGGCTGATGTAAATCAACAGGCTCAGTCAAAGAACAGTGTCCTTGGCAACTAGCCATCTTCAGAAGGTTGGTCTAGTGGGCAAGCCACAGGGCTGAGGGTCAGGACTCCTGGGTTCTATTGTCAGCTTTGGGAGGGGAGGAGGATCCTGGGGGGCTCACAGAAGGGGTGGGATGGACTGGGAATCAGGAGTCCAAAGTCTGATGCCTCCCATTTGACTCTTGCTCTCTCCCCAGTCAATGGAGAATGTGATTTCTGCCAACTGCACCGAGAGGTGCTCCTGCACCCTCAGGAGCACCCTTGTGTGTCAGAGCGTGGCCTGTGAGACTGGACAGACATGCGTGCTCAAGAACGGCACACACAGCTGCACACAGGAGCGGGACTAGTGAGGGCCATGGAGCCCAGGAATGGACAAGTTAGAATGGGTATGATTGACAGCTAGCCTTTTAGTGTGTTCTGTGGTGCTCTCCTTTGCACGTGTGCACGGGCACCGTGCTTCTGAATTATTGTTTTTGTAATATTGTTGGCTGGCCACCAGATGGCGCCAATATAATAGTTTTGCCAGTAACTGAATGTATAGGTAAGTGCTGTTTGGTAGTTGTGGTGCATTTCTTTCTGTCCTCAATAAAGTGGTTCTTTCTGCTGCAGAGCCTCTGCTGGACTATAATTTCTGCTGCCCACATTTATACCCGCAAAAGTTACCAAGATCACCCCATGATGCCCAAATCTTGCACTTTGTTTCAGTCTGTGAAATCTACAAACCTGTACTTCATAATAGCTAGTGCATTGCAAGTGTTGGACCTTTTCAAAGACATTTCTTTCCCAAACTTCCAGCAGATAAATGGTAAGCCTCCTGGGGAGGGGGGCAGATTTCATATCGTTCACTTCTCTGACGGGACATACACCCGTGTAGCAATGTAGAAACAATCGGTAATAACAAACACCGCCACTCTGCCCTTTGCACTTTGTCCTTTCTTCCTGGACCAAAAACAGAAGCAGCTAAACCAGTAAAAACAGAAGTTTCAGGGAAATCCACAACAGGGACTAAGCGCCTGGAGAAAATGCTTTACAGTAGGAGACTTAGGGAATTCAGTCACCTTAGCTACCGACAATGAGCTCAAGAGGTGATGAGTTTATTACAGTGAAAAAATCCCAGCTGCCAGGTACCACGCTGTGGTCACAAGGAAGCCTTTGTCGACCGGCACAGGTATGCCTCGTGAAACCAGGTTTACCTGCGCCGATCAACAAAGGCTTCCTTGTGACCGCGGCACGTCCAGACTGCCTCGATCTGCCGACAAACAGCTGATCAGCTGTTTGTCGGCAGATCGAGGCAGTCTGGACGTGCCGCGGTCACAAGGAAGCCTTTGTTGATCGGCGCAGGTAAACCTGGTTTCACGAGGCATACCTGTGCCGGTCGACAAAGGCTTCCTTGTGACCACAGCGTGGTCCAGACAACAGCTGATCAGCTGTTTGTCGGCAGAGCGGGGCAGCCATTTAAATTTAAATGAAGCTGCGATTATTTTAATCGCGGCTTCATTTCCCTTTGCCGATATGTCTAATCTAAATGCCTCCGTCGACGGAGGCATGTAGTCTAGACACACCCTAAGATTGCAGAGAAAGACAGAGCAAGACTAAAAGCTACAATCTGAAGTCAGACAAATTCCAGGTATAAATTAAGCACAAATGTTTCTCGTTGAGGGTGACTATTAACCACTAGAACAACCTCCTAAAAGAAGTTGGGGAGGGGGTTCTCCATTTCTGGAAGCCTTCCGATTAAGACTGGGCATCTTTCAACTTTAATTTGTGTAGTCTGGAAAAGAGAAGACTGAGAGGGGCATGATAGCAGCGTTCAGGTATCTAAAAGGGTGTCACAAGGAGGAGAGGGAAAAAATATTCTCCTTGCCCTCTGATGATTGGACAAGAAGCAATGGGCTTAAATTGCAGCAAGGGAGGTTTGGGTTGGACATTAGGAAAAGCTTCCTGACTGTCAGGGTGGTTAAACACTGGAATAAATTGCCCAGGGAGGTTGTGAAGTCTCCATCTCTGGAGATTTTTAAGAGCAGGTTAGATAGGAAAATCTCTGACAGAGATCACCTGATCATATAGAAAGATACTGAGCCCAAGTTCTGTTGCTCTGCCCACCTGTCCCAAATATCACTGCTGCTCAAGTCGTCCTTGTCCTCCTTAACAAGCCCCTGGCTCTGGCACAGACCGACAACGGATGGACTATGGCTCACAGAAGCTCACTAAGGAGGGAGATGACCAGTGGGTTCCTCCAAGGATCTGTACTGGGCAGGGTCATTCCTGGGGGAAGTAGGGCCTTAGACAACCCCTCTCAACCCAAGGCCTCGCCCTGCAGCACCCCTGTTCCACCCCCACTCATCCCTATGCCACCCTTCCCTAAGCTCCACCCCTGCTCCTCCTCTTCCCTCCCCTGCTCCGCCCTCTCTCATCTCCATTGCTCCCCAAAACCCTCTCCCCCAAGCAACACAACCCAGGGAATTACCAGGGGGCCTGGCTTGGGGCAGGAGCAGGGGTCAGGCCCCTCCCCTCACTTTGTCTACGTCTACACTATGAGTTTTATCGGCAAAAAATATGCTAACGAGGGACTCATTTGCATGAGTCATGATCTCATTTGCATATTTTCTGCCGATCTGTTTTTGTGCTACAGGTTTTTGCGCAAAAATAAGCAGTGTGGACATTTCCTTTTTTGTACAAAAAAACTTTCCGCAAGAGCCTTATGCCTTTCTAATGTGTGCTTGGATCAAAATCTCACTGCTGTGCAGTGCTACCCAGGAGGGCTGGGACAGGCAGGGGTCAGATTCGATGCTCTAATGGCCCCTTCTGGCCTTAAAATCTACTAATTCATGGCAAACTGAGTATGGCAAAGGGAGCAGCCTCTGGGGCTTTGATGTGCAGCCAGCGCCACCCCCAGACTCAGCTGTTGGTAGGTGGGATGACCCAGGGAAGCCACTGAACATCCAGAGAGACTGGCCAGGGGCAGGACAGCAGCCTTGCAGGGGAGGGGCGGGGTAGCAGTGACATCACAAAGGCCTGTTGCAGGACCTCAGTCCATTGGGGGACAGCGGTGGGAGGTGGTGACCTCACAAAGAGACCCCCCCCACCCCATGTCAGCCAGGCAGAACAGAGGTGCCAGGCAGTAGCAGCCTCAGGGTATGTCTACGCTACCCCCCTAGTTCGAACTAGGGGGGTAGTATAGACATACCCTCAGAGACTCTGGTGGCTTTGCAGCACCAGGCTCCTTCTCAAGGTCTCTCTTGGGGACAGAGATGGATTAGGATTAACGGACGCGGGCAGGAGGAGGAACCTCGTCGGAGTTTTCCCCTTCCCGGCTGCTGACTTTGCAGCCCCTGGTTGGAAGGTAAGAACCTCAGAGAGGTCTGGAACCTGTTCAGGCTGATCCACAAGTACCAGCTGAATCCTAGGCACAGAAATCACTAGGGTCTTGGGGGGGTTGTCCTCGTAGGTCCCTCCTTCCCTCCCTCTTCCTCTTCTCTCACTTCTTCCCCCTTTTCCTTTCCCCCCTGCCTCCACCAAGGAGGGGAGGTGTCGTGGGAGGGAGGGTGCAGTCGCCTTGGGAGGCTGGAATTGCTCTGGGTATGTCTACACTACCCTCCTAGTTCGAACTAGCGGGGCAGTGAAGACATACCCTCTGAGACTGACCCTCTCTGGTGGTGACCTGGGCCATCCTTTGTGGAATCTGCTGAGACCTCTCAGTCTCCCACTGTCAGAGTCTCAGTGCTGATTGGCCAAGGGGGGGCTATTGGCAGGGAGACGCTTTCCCAGTTTCCCAGCGGTGGCCCAGGGCTTGGCCGCCCTGCACCGGCCCTGTCTGACTGCAGAGTCCCCGGTCACAGACAGGTTCCAATGGGGCTTGGAGGTGAGTGTCGTCAGGGGGAGGGGCAGTTTTACCTCAGTGCTGGGGGGAACGGGAAAGGGGAGACAGGAAATCCAGTTTCCAGTCTGTGCCCCCAGCCTGCTCCCCAGGGGACAGCCTTGGCCAGGGCAGCCAGGGCAGGGCTATGCTGGGCCCTTCCCCCTTCTGTGACAGGGAAGAAATGGGACTTAAGTCAGGGCCCTGGTGGCTTTGGCAGTGACAGCCTCAAATCCCCCATCCCAGCACACCCCCCCACCCCCTGAGACCCAGGAGACGGTGCTCACAGAAGAGTCACAGGCTCCTTCCTAAAGAGCCAGTGAGCCCAAAGGGAATCAGCTCTTCTCTCCTGCCTCAGAGGGGGAGGGAGGATTGTCCTCACAGTCACGCCTTTCCTCAGACCCAGGGCTTCTGAGCTGGCCAGGGGCAAGGGGGCTGCCTCCGTCCTGACAAGCTGTTCATGAATTATCGCTGTATTGGGGTCGGGAAGGAATTTTCCTCCAGGGTAGATTGGCAGAGGCCCTGGAGGTTTTTCGCCTTCCTCTGTAGCATGGGGCACAGATCACAGCTGGAGGATTCTCTGCATCTTGGGGTCTTCAAAGTATTTGAAGGCTTCAATATCTGAGCTATAGGTGAGAGGATTATTCTAGGAGGGGTGGGTGAGATTCTGTGGCCTGCACTGTGCAGGGGGTCAGACTAGATGATCATAATGGTCCCTTCTGACCTTAAAGTCTATGAGTTCAGGAAGGATGGGACCGGGGCATTTATGTGCACCCGCCTAGTGACCAGGGCCGGCCTGAGCCATTCTTGCACCCAGGGTCCTGGGTGCCCGGTACATGTGCGGCCCCACCCCCGGGTGCCCTGCAGCCCCAAAAGGTTGGGGACCACTGGCCTAAGGCCTTCCTCTGCAGCCAGACTGAAGAGCAGGGGCCACTAGCTGTAAATTGCATTACAATAGTGTCACACCGGGCTGTGAGAAGGATCCTGGCCTAATGGCCCCCACTGTCACCAGATAAAGAACATCTCAAGATGGGTAGAGAAAACTGAGTTTAAGAGCACTTCGTCTGTTTCCCAATAGTTGAGATTGTGGAATCCTCATTCTATGATTATTGTCCTCACTTTCCTATTGTTTGTTGGTGTGATCTCTGTTAGTTTGTAACTGTTTCTGTCTGTTGTATAATTAATTTTGCTAGGTGTAAATTAATTAAGGTGGTGGGGTAGGATTGGTTAGGTAATTCTGTAAAAGGATGGCATGATTGATTAGTAAAATTTTACTAAAATGATTGGTTAAGAAATAGCTAAGCAGGACTCAAGTTTCACTATATAAACCGTGGTCCAAGAAGGATACCAGCTGGACAGGAAAAGGGAAAGGAACGAGGGAGGAAAGAAGAAGGAAGAAAGACCTGGAAAAAGGACTCACCTCCAAGACACAGCTGAAGACCAGAGCTGCCAGGACTCCTCAGCACCACTGTGAGGTGCAGCAGCTGGGATCCCGAGAGACTGACCTTGCCTGGCCAACGGGGAAGTCTCCCTGCCTAGAGCAGTGACCCTGGGTGCCGAGCATCTGTATTATGCTTGCTTGGGAATTTGCGCAAAAGCATCCGTGCCCAGTATAGACACACTTTTGTGCAAGCTCCGATGGCCATTTTAGCCATTGGGCTTCCTTGTGCAAAAAATGAAGGTGCCTGTCTCCACTGGCCCTCTTGTACAAGTATTCTTGTGCAAGAGGGCTTATCCCTGAGCGGGAGCGGGA